TATATGTGAATATATAAAATATATGAAAATATAAATGTATATAAAATGTATATTAACTAAGTGAAATGATAATAACAGATATCTTTTCAAGGGTTAAATTTCATGAAATTTTTATAATACTACAAATAATAAGGATTTAATGTGTTAGCTAAAATTGTAAATTCCAGATCCTTAACTAATTTTAAGACATTTTATTTTATTTTTTTAAAGATTTTATTTATTTATTTGAGAGAGAGAGAATGAGAGAGAGCACATGAGAGGGGGTAGGGTCAGAGGGAGAAACAGACTCCCTGGCCAGCAGGTAACCCGAAGTGGGACTCGATCCAGGGACTCCAGGATCATGACCTGAGCCGAAGTCAGTCGCTTAACCAACTGAGCCACCCAGGTGCCCCTTATTTTATTTTTTTAAAGATCTTATGTATTTATTTGTCAGGGAGAGAGAGAGTGAGCACAAGCAGGGAAAGCTGCAGGCAGAGGGAGAAGTAGGCTCCCCACCGAGCAGGGAGCCCAATGCAGGACTCGATCCCAGGACCCAGGTACCATGACTTGAGTGGAAGGCAGATGCTTAACTGACTGAGCCACCCAGGCATCCCTAATTTTAAGACTTTATTTATTTATTTATTTATTTATTTTAAGATTTTATTTATTTATTTGAGACAGAGAGAATGAGAGACAGAGAGCATGAGAGGGAGGAGGGTCAGAGGGAGAAGCAGACTCCCCGCCGAGCAGGGAGCCCGATGCGGGACTCGATCCCGGGACTCCAGGATCATGACCTGAGCCGAAGGCAGTCGCTTAACCAACTGAGCCACCCAGGCTCCCTAATTTTAAGACTTTAGACAAATGGTTAACTAATCTTTTGATGCCTGGGTGGCTCAGTCTGTTAAGCTGCCAACCTTGATTTTGGCTCAGGTCATTATCTCAGGGTCCTGGGATGGAGCCCCACATCGGGTTCCCTACCCCCCCCCCACTCTCTCTCTCTCTCTCAAATAAATAAATCTTTAAAAAAGAGAGGTATTACTGCTTATCAAGATGTTAAATTTTTTATTGTTATGTTAATCACCATACATTACATCATTAGTTTTTGATGTGGTGTTCCATGATTCATTGTTTGCATATAATACCCAGTGCTCCATGCAGAACATGCCCTCTTTAATACCCATCACCAGGCTAACCCATCCCCCCACCCCCCTCCCCTCTAGAACCCTCAGTTTGTTTCTCAGAGTCCATCGTCTCTCATGGTTCGTCTCCCCCTCCAAAGATGTTAAATTTAATATGATGCATACATCTTGATCTCGGCCGGGGTAGTGTTCTCATGTGGTGAAGATGGAAACTTTGAGGCCTCTTGAGGTCTGAACTTCATAACCTTCACAGCACCACTTCTGGCACAATCTATTGGTCAGACATCCTGGGGGAGAAGAGGTTCTGCTGGAACAAGCTAATGCAGGTGCAAGTGAAAGCTTTGAAGATGTAGGCCACTCCTCTGATTCCAGAGAAATGCTAAAGCAGTACTATATTGGTGGTGTGCATTCGAATGACCTTAAACCTGAAAGTCGTAGCAGAGACCCTTCCAAAGATGCCACATGCAAATGTTGCCGGTCACACTGGATTTTGCCCATCATAGGCGCTATTGTCTTAGGTTTCCTGTATTGTTACTACACGTTAGAAGGCAAATCCTTCTGAGATTGTGTGGAGTCAGAAAGCATATCCACTGGAAGTGCGAGCTGGAGGTTGTTTGGAGGTCTCACGAGGCTCTCTTCTCGAATCCTGCCAGGTGTGTGCTTCCCCCTTGGAGCTCAGATGGTTGGCCAGACATCCACCCCAGAACTGGGGCCAGTGTCCTTCATCTCCTAGAGCCTTACTCCCAAAGCACCTGCTCATTGTTCTGTGTCCTGCCAGTGGCCCTCTCTCTGCTGGCTTCCACTAGCCAAACTTTGTTTTATAATTACAATCCATATGTCCTAGTGACATCATCCTTTGGGAAAAATCTCTGCTTTCCAATACTTAGAATGCACATTAGACTTTCTTAACAGGACAACACACTCTGGTTTTGAAACTTTTCTTTTTCCATTTTTCTTTGAGGTAAATATATAAATTTAAATAAATAAACACATACATATACACATGCATACTATATTAATATACATATTTTAAGGCTATTGTTAAAAACTTCAAATATCAGTGCACCTGGGTGGCTCAGTTGGTTAAGTGTCCAACTCTTGATTTCAGCTCAGGTCATGATCTCAGGGTCGTGGGATCAAGCCCCACATCAGGCTCTGTCCCTCTTCTTCTGCTCCTCCCCTCGCTGGCTCTCTTCCTCTCTCAAATGAATAAATAAAATCTTTTTAAAAACTTCAAATATGTTAATTATTTCTATATATATTCATTTGTGCCTAAATATACACATATATCAAGGTATATTTATAAATCTTATATTGACAATAGTTATGCGAATAATGTACAAAAAGAGTAAAGTTAGAATATGGGTGTTTTTTTGTGCAAGAAGATTCAGTTATTCTGTGCCCAAATTAGTAGATGTTCCCTGTCACCAAAATATTTGTTAATTCTTAGTGCTTTATCACATTCTTAAACAATTTTGAAGAGATTCCTCTTTACTTCTGAAAAAATTCAGCCTGCTTCTCCCTCTCCCTCTGTCCCTCCTCCCCACTTGTGCTCTCTCTCTCTCAAATAAATAAAATCTTAAAAAAGAATAAAAAGATGTACCACTTTCTCCTGATTGCTAGACATTTATTCTATCAGGAGAATTCAAACTGAAAATTGCTAGGAATTCTTTGGAAGCTGATGACTGGAGAAGTGGAAAGCTTTCACCCAAGACAAAGAAACAAGACTAATTTTCCAATTTTTTTTTTTTTAAGATTTTATTTATTTGACAGAGAGAGAGACAGCAAGAACAGGAACACAAGCAGGGGGAGTGGGAGAGGGAGAAGCAGGCTTCCCGCAGAGCAGGGAGCCCGATGTGGGACTCGATCCCTGCACCCTGGGATCATGACCTGAGCTGAAGGCAGACGCTTAACGACGGAGCCACCCAGGTGCCCACTAATTTTCCAATATTTTTCTGGTTAGTTTTCTACGTTTTTAGTACTAATCTTGCCTTTTATTGTATTTTGCAATGAACATCACTGAACGAATACTAGTAGTATTTGCATGGGATTTAAACAAAAAAAAAATGATCTACACATTTCTTTAACTGTTATAAGCAACAAATTACTAATGTCATATTGCATTACATTGAGTTTACAAATCACTACCCTCAAACTCACAATTTATCCTAAAAGAGACTGTCTGGTCATTGCTATAGACTGAATTTGTGGTCACTCCCTTTTTCCTTCTACCACGTGAGTATGCAATGTGAAGATTGAGGTCTATGAACCAGAAAGCAGCCTCTCACCAGACAATGACTCTGCTGGCAACTTGACCTTGGATTTCCTAGCCTCTAGAACTATGAGAAAGAAATTTCTGTTATTTATAAGCCCCTCCAGTCTATGGCATTCTCTCATAGCAGCATGAATGGACTAAGTCATTGTTTGTGTATGAAATAAAATTAAGTATCATTTGAGGGAACTATTGTTGATTCTCCTAATTTACCCATCAAATCTTGAGTTTGTTGAACTCATCTATCCATTTATTAATTTAACATTTTCTAGGAGGCAATAATGTGCCAAATAATGTGCTAGACACTAGGATATGATGACACAGGTCTATTGCCCTTCAGTTTTGCAGGAAGAGGCAGGCAAGTAAATAATGGCGGTCAAGTAATACTGGGTGCTCTGATACAAGTATGATTAGAGAGTGTGGGAGATTAGAGAGTAGTAAGTTCTTTGTAGTAACTGTTTTTGCAGTGAGATCCAGGAAAATACCACAGGGATGGGTGCATTTGCACAACAGACAAAATTTCTCAAATTCATTTGCAAAATGGCTATAGATAGTATAGGAAGCGAATCACACACTTTTATATCCCTCTGTATTGCACATAATAAAAATGGATCCCTTTCAATGCAGGTCAAGGTATTTGGTTATATCAATAAAGAAGTTGCCTTCCCACCCCCTCCTTTCTGCTACGGTACAAGGAATAAAAAAATTATGGGCCCCACAAGATGATTGTTTTAAGGTATGCAGGCCCCAGTATATTGAATTTATATCATTGTTTCCAGCATGGCAAGGACACCCTTCAGCCTTCTGAGTGCCAATAAAGAATCAAGTAATCCGAAAGTGCTCTAATTCTGACAGTTTGGAGTTTGTGTTTTCTAACTTTTTCATTAGCATCTTTGAACAGAACCATTTAAACGCACCTCTATGGGGCTGGCAGGGAGAAGGGGCCAGGATGGAAAAAGTCATCATCTAAGGAATTGAAGTGGAAGATCCAACATCTACGATATTTTGATGATTTGCTAGATGCTTTCTTTCATCTTATTCTCATACTAACTCCTTTTCTCCAGTAACCAAATTAATGCTATGAGAAGGTATGTATCGTAGCCAATGTCAAACGACAGCTAACAAATACAGGTATCCGGGATTGATCTCCTCCGGACTAGGTCATCACCACTATGTGAATACACTAAAAACAAAACAAAACACCCCCAAACTAAGCCCCCCAAAACCTCACCCTTCTAAAGGGTTTTAATAAGATCACGAAGACTTAGAGGCCACTTAATGGGTCCCATTTAGTTGGTAAGGTAGTCCTAGTGTTTTACAAATCTTCTGCCAAGCTCAATTCCTCCCAAAGGAACGAGCCGAAAGCCTTTGGCGGCAAAGCGGGTCCGCGATCACTCAGTGCGTGCTCAAGGGACGCAAGCATGCCGCTTCCTTGCAGGTGCGCGCGCACCTGTCGCTAGCCGCGTGAGCGCCGCGAGGGAGGGAGGTACGTGTCCGTGCGCGTGCGCCAGGCAACATTCCCCGTACGTGCGCCGTACGCGGGCGCGGTGTCCCTGCGCTCGGAGTTTCGGGCCGGCGTTCGGCCCCGTGCCGAGTGGGCGTCTGGGAGGGGCGTGTTCCTGGGCGGTCGCAGCTCCCCCTGGTGGCGGCCCGGCGGCGCTGGAGGCGCGCAGTCAGGCGTTCTCCGCGGGCAGCCGGCGGCGGGGCCTTGCCTTATAGCGCGGGGTCCTCGGCGGCCTGGGTGTCTACTGCCCCAGCTGCTGTCGTAGGCGAGGACGGCTGCTAGTGCGGCTGCTGTTGGTTCGCGGCGGCGGCGGCGGCGGCGGCGGCGGCGGCGGAGGAGGAAGAGGGCGAGGCGACAGGGAAAGAAGGCGGCAGGCGCGGCGGCGGCGGCTTCGCCCGGGGCCGGCGGCGGCGGCGGCGGCGGGGGGGGAAGATGGCGGACGTGCTCAGCGTCCTGCGACAGTACAACATCCAGAAGAAGGAGATTGTGGTGAAGGGAGACGAAGTGATCTTCGGCGAGTTCTCCTGGCCCAAGAATGTGAAGACCAACTATGTAGTTTGGGGGTAAGTCCGGCGTGGCTGTGGCCTGGGGATGGCCGGGCAGAGTTGGGCGCCCCCAGGCGACCTCTTTCCTAACCCCTCCCCCCGATTCCCTTTGGGGATGGAGGAAAAAACGGGTCTCTAGGTAAAAGTTTTTCTCTAGCAAAGAAGTTACACTCTTAGGCGAGGAGGGCATAGGCGGAGGTGCGTCCGGAGTGGTCCGTTTTCTCTAAGTCTCGGGACGCCGAAGGGAAAGGTACCAAGGGAGTTGCTGACTTTTCCGATTCATTTTCGCCGGTAGGTGTCGAGGGTTAGCAGTGGGTGTAGGTGCCGAAGAGGGCGCACCGTCCGGTCCTGGAGACGTCTTTTTGTGTTCTTTAGTTTTTTCTTTCTCTTCGAGGCTGCCCTGTGTTGTTAACTATCCCTGCTGCCCCTTGCAGCTCCTGGTCTGTTTCTTTTCCTTTCGTGATTCCCCCAAGAAGAGAGGAGGGAGCCGACTATGTGAAGTTAGAACGGGAAGAAGACTTGGTCACTTTGGAACAGAGTCCTCAAAACCCGTGTCGGAGGGGAAGGCGTCCTCAGGGAGAAAGTTACTGGTGGAATGGGGTGAGCTTTGTAGATCTAAGTAAGGTACTGGTGGTGGTGTGTGGTTTAGGAAAGGTGTTTTAAAGAGACATGTTTTGGGACGTTGATCCGTGCGGGGTTTTCTGGATTTAAGTCATTAAGGAAAATATCTAGAAAGAGGTCCTATAATCGTCTGGGATGTTTCTGTCACTGGTATTTCATTTGGATAATTAGAACTTGGGGCCAGAACTTCCATACTCATTTTGCTTGATTGAATGGGAGCGCTAGGCTTTATGATGGAAAGCCAAGGAAAATTTAGTTCGTTGGTTTCTAGTGTTTTGGCCTTGACGGCTTATGATTCGATTAGCTTTATGAAATGTTGATGCAGTGACATCATTCTGAGTTTCCTGCATTTTGTCCTTTCAAAAGAATTTGCACAGACACAGTTATATTTGATTGGATTTTTTTTTTTTTAATTTCTTATTTATTTATCTGAGAGAGAGAATGGGAGACAGAGAGCATGAGAGCGGGGAGGGTCAGAGGGAGAAGCAGACTCCCTGCCGAGCAGGGAGCCCGATGCGGGACTCGATCCCGGGACTCCAGGATCATGACCTGAGCCGAAGGCAGTCGCTTAACCAACTGAGCCACCCAGGCGCCCCTTGATTGGAATTTTAACTGATTTGTTTTTTCCTTTAAAAAATGGTTAAAGAGTAGTCACAGTGTAGGGTGGTTCAGTCTGAGAAATAGAAAAATTTCTTAGCATCTTGGTCCCTGACTCAAAGGAGGTTAACTTAATCAGAGTAGATGAGATAAAACAGATAGATTACTTGGTAAGAATTGCATTCTGGCCCGTGAGAGAGTAATCGCTTCTGGCTTGGGGTATTAGAAAAGGTTTCGTAGAAGTGTGTTTGGGATGTAGATGTGCTACACATTTTTCTTGAACAACTGAGTAAGCTTTAAAGAATGGGTAAAGAACTTGAGGGTGACATGATGGGTTAGGTCTTAAAGGACATGCTTAAGGGCATGCGAGCTGGAAGGGAAATGTTTTGATAGTTCAGTGAAGCTAGTAGTGAAAAGGGACTGCTTAGGATAGATTTCAAACTTTAACAACAGTGAATTACGCTGATAAATACATTTTCATTTCATTTATTCGTCTCTGCACGTGTACATATGTCCAACTTCATAACTGTAAACAATAGTTATCCTTATTGCATGCTGTACATTGTGTTACTTTGCTTTTTTATTATGTTTAAATAACCTGGTTACTTGTATATCACATTTCAGAGTACAAAAATTGGTAGTGATATATGATTTGAAATATGTCAATTTAGAGGAAAAGGGGAAAGGCAGGCTAGAGAAATGTAGGTTGGGGCTGATTACTTTGGGCTGTTTTCAGATGAATTTAAATAATACATTGACATTTTTAGGTGAGGATAATGTAGTAGGAAGGGTGAGATTGGACACTAATATTGTTGAGCAAATAGTACTACGTGCTTTCATTAAAGAGCCTGCACCTCTAAACTGCATTGTTTTATCACAGGTAGAATTCAGTATGGTTTTACATCATTGGTTTAATTTGAGGGATGTCATAAGAATTATACCTCTGAAATTCATTGTTGTGTTTACTGTAAGAATGTTGCTAAGGATGGTGTTTAGCAGTATCTTACTTAGGAGACATAGGATAAATTTCTTCTAAGTTTAGCACTGGCAGTAGTTGTGCTTCTCCTAGTCAGTTTGTTTTCTCTTGTGGATCCTCTCCAGTCTATAACTGATCAGATTTCTCTCTCTATTGACAAAGACCAGAACCAAATATGGGCCAAATTCTAAAAAGTGTATAGTGCCTTCGAGTATGAATATGGTATGCTTTCCTTCTTGCTTTTTGTCATTGTCTACCTTTGTGTTCTTTGCTTTAATGACAGTTCCACTTACTAAATTTCATACTTTATGGGTATTTTTGTTAGTCAAATTAAATCCATTGTTGGGTAGCAAAGTAAGTATAGATAAGTTCGTACATATAATTAAGTCCAAAGAGTTGAATTAAAATTGAGTAAAAATCTTGTCTTAATTATTTCAGGACTGGAAAAGAAGGCCAACCCAGAGAGTACTACACATTGGATTCTATCTTGTTTCTACTTAATAATGTGCACCTTTCTCATCCTGTTTATGTCCGACGGGCAGCTGTAAGTACAATTCATTTTAAAACTTTTTTGGTTTTTTTTTTTTTTTTTTTTGGATGGTAGGTATCATTTTGTCATCGTGCACTGAAATAAAGTTCTCAGACACTAGTCTTCTGCAAGGGAGAACAGCCCTGCAGGGCCAACACTCAGATTGGTGTCTGAGAACTTTATTTCAGCACGCGACAACATTTGGCGCCAAACAGGGACCTCTTCAGGACTCAATAGAGTCCTCGTCCACAGTGCGGACAACATCATTTGGCATGGATCACTTCCCTCATGGGTTTCAAATCAAAAGAATAAAAGGTTTGTCTGTATGAAGTTCTACTGGAGGGTCAAATTAGATCACTGTGTTTTTGCAGATTTTTAAATCTATGACTTTCATGTAAAACATGGGCACTGTTTACAAGAACAGAAGTTTTGAAGGCATTGGTAGGAATGTTTTAAGAAATTCATAAGCCTGTGGAAGGACCCTGATATTCAGAACTCTAGTTTAACTAATCTCAAGACTTTTTGGGGGGGCATCAAAAAGAATCAAGATTAACAGACAACTTTAAAATTAAATTTTTAATCAATTTAACAAACGTTTTTAATACTTTATTGACACACTCATTTGTTTTCAGTTTTGCCTGCCTTCAGCATGTCAGTATTTGAACACTGCACTTCTGAATAGGAAATAAATATTCAGCATCTAATATATATAAAAGAAGTAATATATAGGGTGAAACTACTTGAGATTTGAGAAATAGTGGGATAAAAATAACGGCATTTCTATAAACTATGTTACCTCGTCTTAAATCTTTAAAAACTGAGTTAGACAGGGGCGCCTGGGTGGCTCAGTTGGTTAAGCAACTGCCTTCGGCTCAGGTCATGATCCTGCAGTCCCGGGATCGAGTCCTGCATCGGGCTCCCTGCTCAGCAGGGAGTCTGCTTCTCCCTCTGACCCTCCCCCCTTTCATGCTCTCTATCTCATTCTCTCTCAAATAAATAAATAAAATCTTTAAAATATATATATAAAAATAAAAACTGAGTTAGGCAGTAATTAGAATCTTTTGTTGGCTACATTATTCATTTTGTGGTAATAAGGATGATCCAGCTACTTGGTTTACATTTAGAAATTATATTATTGGGAAATGGTTGTAGCATGTACTGATGGCTGTAATTGTTACCTTTCTTCACATAAGATTTAAATCTTTTGTTTTTCTTAAATACTTCACAGATTGAAAGGGCAGAATTCTATAATTCTAGGGTTCTACAAATTTTGTTTTTTCCTCTTTTGTGTTATTTGCTCTTTCTTGTGAGCAGACCATTTCTGAAATAAGTTTTCCTGAGCTATAGCTACTATTTTAGTGTGAGTAGACTTGTATCTTTCTCAGTTGGCTGTATTAGGTCCATAATTCATTAGTAACCAAATGATGAAAAGTGTTATCAGACTTAGAAACAGTAATTTAAAGAAAATTAATTCGGGCACCTGCGTGGCTCAGTCATTAAGCATCTGCCTTCAGCTCAGGTCATGATCCTGGGGTCCTGGGATCGAGCCCCGCGTCGGGCTCCCTGCTCCGCGGGAAGCCTGCTTCTCCCTCTCCCACTCCCCCTGCTTGTGTTCCCTCTCTCGCTGTGTCTCTCTGTGTCAAATTAAAAAAACAACAACAACAACAAAAACTTTAAAAATTAAAAAAACAAAAAGAAAATTAATTCAAATCTTTTAATTATTTATGATATACTCCGTGTAGGCTAGTTTTTAAAAACAAGCACACAAAAACCTGTAGGCTCTTAAATGTTTATACTCCCAGCAGAAATTAAAATTTAGCCTGCCCTTTAAAAAAAAGTTAATTTTAAGTGATTAAGTAGTTTATTTCTATCATCAAGGACTGTATGCAGAATGGTGCAGTAGTCAGTATGAGATAATTAGCCAAAGGATTCTTGTTACTTCATTTTTGCTTGTATAAAGTGGCAAAGGGATTTTAATATATAATCTTGTAGCCACCAGTCATTCTTGTACTCATGTGTTGTTGATATTATAAAAATGATAGGAAAATTGTCGTAATTACAGGATTCATTGAATTCATGGCCCGAAGATGACTTGGTGACTAAAGTATACAGTTTTGTTTTGCATACCTCTTTACAAACTGCTAATGTAGGAGATTAAAGGAGAATATCCATTTTACCAAAATAGATGCATTTTCCAGGTTTAATTTTTTAATCTTTTCCCCTTCCTTATAGAATTTGTATACACTCAGGGGTAAGAAAAAAATGTGTAATGTGGAAAGTAACCACCATTAATGGTTTCCTATATAATCTCCTAAGTATTTTCCCATGCTTAAATAACACATACCTATTGTTAATTATGAAAACTTAGGCTAATGGCTAAGTTGGTGTATTTTGGAGTTCAAGTAGAATATTTTGAGGAAGTCTGTTTTGTGTTTGAGGCAAAAAGGCACTTGGGAATATGTAAAATGAGCAGGCAATAGGACTAAAAAGATAATTGCCTAAAGCGTGCGAAGTATCATGAGTAAAATAAAATACTTAAGGTAAGCCAAGGGAACAAAAAAGATTGGAATTGATATTTTGAAGAGGGATGGGTCATAGTTTCATTTCTGATGTTTATTTTTTATATATCTTATTTGAATTTCAAGAATGAAGTTATTAAAGTTAATATTCTTAAAATTTTTCAAGACTTTTATTGGGTTTTTTAGCCTAGTTCCGTAAAGATAAGATCCTAAGTAAATGTTACCGAGATACGTTGGAATGAAATTCATACATTACATAATGTTTGTCTTTATTATGTTTCGTATAATTGTTGTTGTTTTGATAACTAATTTAAAATTTTGACTTCAGACTGAAAATATTCCTGTGGTTAGAAGACCTGACCGAAAAGATCTACTTGGATATCTCAATGGTGAAGCATGTGAGTAATTTTTTAACTTGCTCTCACTCTTAAATAGCCATTGTTTCTTTCCTTCCCCTGTGAAATAAGCAATGGAAAGAGAATTTGTATTTTCACTAAAAAATTAACCTACCAGCAACATATGTGTGCATATACTCTCCATTCTTTTCTGTTATGGTGAATGCACTATTTTCGCTCCTAAGGCCAGTCACCACTTCCCTGTCTATAGATTCCATTTCCTTTCACACTCTGAAAGACTTTGCCTTTGTGAATTGTTGCTTCTCTCTTACATCATCATCTTTCTCCTTTTCTCTGCATTCCCTTTAAAATGCATACTGTAAGATCTCTCATTTAAAAACAGTTTTTTGACCCCACATTCCTAGTATCTACTGTTGAATTTGTCTTCTCCTTTTTATTGCAAAATTCTTTGTTAACAGTTGTGTGATATCACTGCCTACCTCTTGAATCCCCCACTCTAATCTGACTTTCCTACTCACAGTCTCACTAAAATTACTGTTGTAAGGTCAACACTGACTTAGGGGTTATCAATTCCTTTAGTGTCTTATCCATATCAACACTGTTGATTACTCCCTTTTGGAAAGCCTTTCTTCACTTGGCATTTGGGGCACCAGACTCTTGATTCTCTTTTTATTCGATGTCCATCTCTCATTTTATTTTGCTTACTTATCTTCAGCACTGACCTATTCCTAAGCTCAAGTTATAAATCCACTGTACACCTCTTTCCTTGGATATTTAATAGGTAAGTGAAATACAACATATCTGAAATAGAATGCTGATTCCCTCCTTCCCTTCACCCCTTAAACAAAACTAAAATAGCAGGTCTGGTCTCCCAGTATTTCCATCACAGTAAATGCTTTCCCATTCATGGAGTTGTTAGGCCAGAAACCCTGGAAAAAATCTTTGATTTCTTTGATGAATTTCATGAACAAGTCCTTTTCTTTAACTTTAAAAGTATGACAGTTTCTTAACCATTCTACTCCCACCATGTTTCATTCTTCCCCTTTAGACTTGCATAGCTTTCTTAAGGTCCCCACTCTATAATTTCCCATATAGTCTTTGCCTACCCATTAGAGTGACCTGTTTTTGAAAACACATATAAACTTGATTGTGTCACTTATTTGCTCAAGCCCATCCTGTGGCTTCCCGTCATACTTAGAATAAAGCCCACAGTCTTTATCCTATCCTGACCTACGTGATCTTGCTTCTGCCTAAATCTCTGTGGCCTCATCTTCTTCCAACCTTCTTTGCTCGCAGCAGTCCAGTCTTGTTGGTTCTTTTAATAAACTATCTTAACTTTTCAAGCCTTTGTACTTGCTGTTTTCTCTGTATTCAGTTGTTTCTCTACATTGTCACATGTCTTACTTCTTACCACCTCATTCACATCTGTGCTTAAATCTTCTGTCAGAAAGAACTTACCATTCTAAAATACAGAATTGCAGTGTTTTCCCACATATGCCCGTGTATGTACAGCATCTTCCTGATTTATTTTTCATCAAATCCCTTACATTGACTTGAAATTACATATTTGTTTACTTAATATATTGTCTGCCCCACTAGAGGATAAACTGTAAGAGGGCAGATAGTTGTTAAATACCCAGCATTTTAGAACAGTGGTTAATAGTGGGTGCTTACCTGTATAAATGAATAATCATTAACTTGGAGTCTTAAAGAATATGAATAAAGAGGTATAATAAATTGATATATAAATTGATGAGTATGAATAAATTGATATAATCTTAGAATAATATGAATAATCAATATAAGACTGATTGGCCCTAACCTTCCTTGGGGTGGAGTTTACTACCTTTAAGTCATTAATAGCTGTCTTATCACATATTGTGCTCCACGGCTATAACAGTAAGATTGATTTGCACAGAGTCTCTTGCATAATGGAAAGACCATCATCAAGAGTCTTGTCTTTCTGTACTGTCCTCACTGAACATTCAGCAAGTACTTATGAGTGGTTATTCTTTTTTTTTTCTTTTTTTTTGATTTATTTATATATTTATTTGAGAGAGAGAAAGCGGGCACCTGTGCACGAGCAGTAGGGAGGGGCAGAGGGAAAGGGAAGGAGAATCTCAAGCAGACTCCTTCCTGATTGCCGAGCCCAAACTGGGACTCCATCTCACGACGCTGCAATCATGACCTGAGCTGAAATTAAGATTCGGACGCTCAACCGACTGAGCCACCCAGGTGTCCCTTGAATGGTTATTCTTAAAGGCATTGTACTCGGTGCTATACAAAATGCAAAATTCGTGTCCTGAACATGTTTACCATTGTGAAAGATAGACTGATAAAATAAGGGTTAAAATCTGGGGAGAGGATTGAGGCGGGATTCTAATTCTGCTGTGAGGAGAATGGAGTTGAGGAGGATAGGCAAAGCCTTTTTTTTTTTTTTTAAACCATATGGTGCACTCATTAGATTTTTTTTGCTTCAGAAGATCTGGTATAGAGTCTAGGATTCTCTATTTTTTAAAACTGTCTCAGGCAAGCTTGACAAATAGGCTGGTTAGTGGGAGAGAGTACTTTAGGGCAAATAAATGGTTTTTCTTTTCAGAAACAAGAAAAAAGTTCCCCATTATTCATGCATGTCATTACCTGTAGTTTCTATAGGACAAAAAAAATTGAGTCATCAAGTATATTCCTTTGCCAATTTTATTTTTTTTATTTTTTAAAGATTTATTTTTATTTATTTATTTGACCAAGAGATAGAGCCAGAGAGCACAAGTGGGGGGAGATGGGATGGCAGAGGAAGAAGGAGAAGCAGGCTCCCTGCAGGGAGCCTGATGCGGGGCTCTATCCCAGGACTCTGGGATCATGACCCAAGTCGAAGGCAGACGCTTAACCAACTGAGCCACCCAGGCGCCCCTCCTTTGCTATTTTTAAAACAAATTGTTGAATTAATGGTTTAATGAACAAGTTGAGGAAATCTTAAGACATTCCATGTTCTTAGACAAGAAGACGTAACAGCTTAAAGATGTCAGTTCATAACATAGATTATATATTTAACATAATCCCAATAAAAATCTCTACAGTTTTTCTTGAGGGAAGGGTGGAATAGACATGATGATTCTAAAATCCATTTGGTAAAAGTAAATGTCATAAAAGTTTGGAGAAGAGCAATGCGAAAATACTATTCTAGAGTTCAGAACTTATTATAAAGCCCTAGTAATTTAAAAAATGTGAATAAACTGATAGAACAATTTTTTATCCGTTAAATGTTAAATTATGTGAATTTGACACAACTAAAAAGATAGGTCAAATCAGTGGGGGAAAGATAGGATTATTCAAGTAATAGGTTGGTAAAAATTAAAAAGTTCTGTATTATTAAAAAAAAGACCTGACAAGTTGGGAAAAAATACTTGAACTCATCACAGTGAAAGGACCAGTCTTACTGATAATATGAAGTGGTCCTAGAAATACATGCATAAAAGACCAACAACCCAATAGATTATAGTCATAAAATTCAAAGAAAAGGTGATGAGATTGTATGAAAAATGTTTATTTCACTCATAATTATAAATCGAAACTATATAGAGAGAGCATTTTTTTTTTTTACTTCATTGATAAAAATTTATCAGTTTAATAATACACTTTTGAGTCTCTGAGGAAACCGATACCCTAATATATTTTTAGTTGTAGTGTCAATTGATACAACGCCCACTGAAGACATTTGGCAGTATCTATCATTACAAAATCAACCCAGAAATCCTACATCTGGGACTTTATCCTAGGGGTATATTTGAAAATGAATGAACAGTGTGTCATTGTTTGTAGTGGCAAAAACCTGTCAGAGTTGAACTGCCCATGGATAGATAGGGAACTAGTTAAATAAATTATAATTACCCCATACATTAAATACTATGTAGATTTAAAAAGAAAGTTAAAGAATGCTCCACATACTGATATGTTAGGTCAAAAAAGAAAGGTTCAGGACAGTGTGTATAGTATGCTACCTTTTTTGTTAAAAAAAGGGAAAAATAAAAGCATGACTTTGTATTTCTTGTAACTACAGAAAGAAACATGAGACTGTCAAATAGTTATGTAGGGTGGTGAGAACTAGGTGGATGGGGACTGGTACATCCTTTTGTTCGTTTCATTATTTTGAACCATTCAAAAATTAAATGATTTAATTTAAAAAATATTTTTTACCAATTGTGAATAACTAAAAATTGCATTTTTTAAGGTGAATGCTAACTTAAAAAAAGCATTTTCCTTTATACATATATGTTTATGTATTTATGTTTAGATACATTTTATGTTCATGTGTGGTAATTAACATTAGAGTATATGTTCTTTGAAGTGACCAGTTGATTCCAGATTCTCACAATAATTTGTAAGCTAAATTATTAAAAATTTGTCCTTTTACAGCCTTTTAAATACAGATTAATCTTTTATAATGTTTTTATAAAACGGCTTTAAAACTTTTTTTCCTGGGGAAATCACTGTATATAAAGTAAGAAATAACAAATATTGAGCATTTCACTTGTAATAATGTCAAGTGTATGTGTTCAAATATTGGTCTTCTCACATAAATCTTTTTAAATCTTCAGCAACATCAGCAAGCATAGACAGAAGTGCCCCTCTAGAAATAGGTCTTCAGCGATCTACCCAAGGTACATTTTGTCACATATTTATATTGAACATTCAAAAACTTACTCCAGAACGATGTACTTACTTACTTTTCTTTTCTTAAAAGTGAAACGAGCTGCAGATGAAGTTTTAGCAGAAGCAAAGAAACCACGCATTGAGGTAATGGGACTTTATTTTAAATGTGAATTGTAGTGTTACAAAATTGGGTTTGTATATGAATAAGAATTCTTTCTCATAGTAGTCCTAGGAGCTTTTTTTCTGGAAAAATTGTTGTAGTATAATGAATGTTTGATTAATAGTAGCTTGAGCTATAGTTTGAGATCTCTTACATAAGCTGTGTGTTGGGCAAATCACTTTCTTTTCTTTTATATACTTATTGACGAAAGTGTTGGGCTAGGTCAGGAGTTGGAAAACTTCTTCTGTAAGGGATCATATAGTAAATATTTTAGGCTTTTTGGGCTGTTTAGTGTCTGTCCAATTATTCCACCCTGCTATTATAGTGTGGAAGCAGGAAGAGGCAATACATAAATGAACTGGCAAGGCTGTATTCCAGTAAAATTTTATTTTTTATTTTTTATTTTTTTTAAAGATTTTATTTATTTATTTGACAGAGAGATAGAGAGAGAGCACAAGTAGGCAGAGAAGCAAGCAGAGGAAGGGGGAGAAGCAGACTCTCCACTGAGCAGGGAGCCCGATGCAGGGCTCGATCCCGGGACCCTGGGATCATGACCTGAGCCGAAGGCAGACGCTTAACCGACTGAGCCACCCAGGCGCCTCTCCAATAAAATTTTATAAAACAGATGGTGAGCCTGCCTTTGGGTTGTAGTTTGCCTGCCCCTGGAATAAGATGGTGTGAGAATTTGCTTCGCTCTTAAGAACTGTGAACATGAAGTGCTTATTACATTTATTTCTTAAAATACTGGTGTATGTTAGGGGGTACCTGGATGGCTCAGTCAGTTGAACATCTGGATGGCTCAGTCAGTTGAACATCCTACTCTTGGTTTCAGCTCAGGTCATGATCTCAGGGTCATGCACTCAGCTGGAGTCTGCTTGAGATTTTCTCCCTTTGCTCTTCCCCTTCCTTGCGTTTGCCCCTTCTTTCTAAAATAAATCCTTAAAAAAAATACTGGTGTATTAGGTTGCATGTTTTTTGTAGTGTTTTATAGCCAGCAAGTGGAATACTAATATTGGTAAATAAGGATAGTTCACATGAAATAGAAGCTGTATAAGAAATGCAGTTACCTTTAGAAAGAAAAATCGTTCAACAGCTAGGGTACTGCAGAAGAAAGTTAAATCTTAGAAATTAGCTATTTATTTAAATTTTTTAACAAGCGTCAGATCAGTTACATATTAAACCCCCTGACAGTGGAAGATTATGTACTAGAGGTACACTTAACATCTGAGAAATGACTGAACTGGTCCATGTATCAATTAATAATATAGAAATAACACTTGTAGTCATCACTAATGTTAATATTACTGGAAACCATAAATCTTTCCCTTTCACACTTGTATAAAAATCAAATAGTTGTACCTTTTGCCTGCTACATAAACAACAAAGCTAAGGATAAAAAGGTAAATGTTAAAGGGACAGGGTTGTTGGTAAGTATGTTCTATATAATCATTGACAGAATTTGATGCTAAAACAGTACAATTTTATTTTAATTAATTATAAAACAATTTTAATTAAGCATACTCTGAGACATGGACTTGATGTATTTTAGTTAAGGATCATAATGATAATTAGCTCATTGTTTCTCCTCTGTTCCGGGTTACTTTTGTATACTTTATGTATATTAACTCATGTAATCCTCAACCACAACCTCCTGAAGTTGGCAGTACTATGCATGTCATCAATGAGCAAACAAACCCCTCAGAGAGAGTAAGTTATTTGTTGATGTTCACAGAACCAAGATTGGAGCCCAGACTATCTGGCCTCTAGCCATTCTACTATATATCCTGACTACAAATTTTGTAGCAGTAAAACGAAAGTTTTCACCAGCTCTATCTGTATGAAAGAAGGTTGTGACCCACTGTGAACAAAATGAGTGAATTTAGACACACTACTTATTTGGAAAAATCTGAATTTACAGTTTAATTATTTGAAATAAATCGAACATGACAAAAATGCTAATTTGCTAGGATACCATTAACTTGAAACATCAGCAAGAATATCATAATAAAATTCTTTGCAGAGTATTTATAGAGTTAAAATGATTTACATAAACAACTATGTTACATAAACAGTTTTCAGTTCAGTGTATATATATTGGGAACCTGCAAGGCACTGTGCTAGGAGAAGAACCTTGAGGGCAGAGATTCTGATCTAATCTGATTAAAATCTAGGCTGCAGTTGTCTTTAAAATCAGTAGTTTCCCAAGGAACTTGAGTAATTTGTGTTATACCTTCATTACAAATGGCTAAAATTTAATGCAATTTGCTTAAATACTATCTTTGCATTCATGTCAGCAAAATGTTTTAAATGATAGGTTAATATTAGAGCATGAATTGGATGGAGCACAACATTGAATATACTGCTGCTTTTTATACAATATCATATTTTGTTAGCCATAGACACTAACTCTGTTCCTTAGTTTTCTCATTTGTTGAATGTGGGCATTGAACTAGATCAAGTTTTGTTTTTAACCGAACACTTTCCAGACTAAATTTTATCTGAAATTCTAACATGCAGGTTAGAGAAAAGCTGAGCTACCAGGGTTGAACTCAGAGAAGTGGCCCATGAGGCACTTTGTAGGAAATGCCTAATGTTCTAAGGAACATGCTTTGAAAACATTCAAGTTTCACTTCTGGTCATTAGAAATTCTGATGGATTCAGGACCTGGGGCAACAGGTGCAAAAAACTGTCTCCAAAATGAAATTTTTTACTGTGTTGAAGGCTTTTCATAAAATTTAGTGATAAATTTTCCTGAAGAGAAGGAATTTATTTGTGGTATAATACCTTTATGAATAAAAATAGGTATGATACATTACGGGAAGAACGTTTAATCATAGAAAAAAGTTGCTGAAGTTCTTTGGTAAGCTTTTAATCAGTTCTACTCTTATGTGATCCAACATGTATTTATTATTGTTGTCTTTATGTAACTAGAAGTAATCTTAAAATCAAGCTGACTTAAGGCAGCAATGCTTGGCATGTTATAGGCAGGAACTTATGTAAGGAAAAGTTACATGTTTTTTTGTTGTTGTTTTTGCTCTACAAGTTAAATAAAAATGTGCAATATTCACTAACCAGTGATTATTTTCAGGATGAAGAGTGTGTGCGCCTTGATAAAGAGAGATTGGCTGCTCGTTTGGAGGGTCACAAAGAAGGGATTGTACAGACGGAACAGATTAGGTAAGATTTTCTTTAGTAGAAAGTGTTAATTGTATATGGAAAAGGAGATATCAATATGTTACCTACATTTACCTTTACCTCTTGCATTTATTATGTGCTTCTGTGCCCTAAGTTCAAAAGAAGATGTGTGGGCATGTTTTATGGTAGGGGAGACTGAAAGTTAATTAAGCTTTCCGGAAAGCCTTCTTGGTTCTATTACCATATTGATCTTCCCTTTTTTAAAATTACTCCATAACCAAGTCTCTCATTTATTTTGTCATCTCTTGTTGATTTATACCAGAGGTCAGCAAACTTTTTTTGTGTAGTGACACATAATTAAATACTTTCAGCTTTGAAGGTCACATGGGGGTTTTTTTGGTAACTAATGCTTGTGGTAGGGAAAGCAGTCTATGATTGCTTCATTCATAAAAGAATTGGCATGGCTGGATTTGGCCTGTAATATTTTGTTGATCCCTGATTTTTACTATAATTGGAATCACTTCATAATTTTTCCTTGGCACAATATAATGCTTTGGAAGTTCTATCCAAACTTAAAAATTCAATGCCTAGTTTTAAAAGCTTTATTCAAGATGACTGACATAACAATAAGCTGCACATATTTAATATAAGTTGATAAGTTTTCATATATATATATACATCTGTGAAACCATCATCATAATCACCATAATGAATATAATATCACCCGCATAAATTTCTTGTGTACCTTTATGATTCCACACTTCTACCTATCCCCACCTCCTTTCCTCTCTAGGCAACCAATTATCTGCTGTTGCTATAAATTAGCTTTTTCTAAAGTTAAGTATAAATGGAATTATGTAATATGTACTTTTTTTGCGGGGGTCTGACCTCTTTTACTTAGCGTAATTTTTTGAGATTCATCCATATTGTTGGATGTATCAGTTCATTTTGTTATTGCTGAGTAGTTCATTCTGTTCCATTGTACGGACATAACACAATTTGTTTTCCTAGGCAACTGTTTATGGACATTTCACTTATTGCTGTTTTTTGGCTGTTGCAGCTAAAGCTGTGGTCATTTGTGTACAAGTTTTTTATGGACATATGTTTTCATTTCCACTGAGTAAATACCTAGGAGAGGAGTGATTGAATTGTGTACTGTTACAGATCTGCCGTTTTAAGAAATCGTCAAACTGTTCAGAGTGATTGTACCATTTCACATTTCTACCATCAATATATAAGAGTTCTAGTTTCTTCACAGCCTTGCCAACACTTAGTGTGATCAGGCTTTTTAATTTTAGCCATGCTAATAGGTATAAGATGGTTTATCTTGCACTTACAACATGATTAATGATATGAGCATCTTTTTGCATGCTTATTTGTCATCTTATATCATGTTTGGTGAAGTGTGTTCAGATTTTTGTCCATTTTTTCTTATTGGATTGTTTCCTTATTACGGAGTTTTGAAAGTTTGTAGTATGTCCTGGATAGAAGTCCTTTTCAGACATAGGCTTTGCAGATACTTCTTCCAGTCTGTGACTTGCCTTTACGTTCTCCTAACTACCTTTTGAAGAGCAGTGTAATTTTTACGACATCTCACTTGTCAACCTCTTCTTCTGTGAATTGTTTCGGTGTTATATCTAAGAAATCTTTGCCTGAGCAAAGCGAACAAAGATTGTCTCATATTCTTTTGTAGAAATTTTTTAGTTCTAGGTTTTACATCTAAGTCTATGATCTATTTTCAGTTAATTTTTTGTGTGTGGGTTATACATCATGGATCAAAATTCATTTATTTTTTTATGATCTAGATATTGAAGTTCAGTTTTGTGCATGTGGATAACCCAGTTATTTAGCATTATTGGTTTCCAATGAATTTTCTTTGCACTTGTGTAAAAAATCAGTTGTTCATGTGTAGGTCTGTTTTTGGAACCATTCTGTGCTGTTGATCTGTTGGTCTTTTTGCCTGTACCAAACTGTTTTAATGATTGTTTATAAGTTTTGAAATCAGATAGTGTTAGCTTTACAACTTTGTTCTTCTGTTTCAAGGATATTTTTGCTGTTTTAGGTTCTTTGCATTTTCACATGAGTTTTGGAATTAACGTGTTATTTCCTACAAAAAACCTTACTGGGATTTTGATTGGGATTGCATTGAATCCGTAGACCAGTTTGGGGAGAATTGACATCTTAAAAATATTGAGTCTTCTGATTTATGAACAAGATGTATTTATTTCCCTTTCTTTTACTGGAAAGATATTTAGAGCTTCTGTAATTTAACATTTCTTAATTTTCAGTATATAGGCCTTATATATCTTTTTGTCATATTTCATACTTTTCGATCCTGTTATAAGTGATATTTTAAAAAATATTTCAATTCTTGACTTATTGCTAGTATAGAGATACAGTTGATTTTTGGGTATGGATCTTGTATCCTGCAATCAAGTTAAACTCATTGATAAGTTCTTGTAATTTTTTTTGTAGCTATCATTAGCTTTTCACATAGATAATTATGTTGTCGAGACATAAAATATATCTTTTCTTCCCCCCCCCCCCTTTTTCTCTTTCTAAACTGGATGCCTTTTATTTCTTGCCTTACTGCACTGGCTAGACTTACTGATCCTCACTAATCCAATGTTGAAGAAGCAGTGAGATTAGACATTCTTGTTTTGTTCCTCATCTTAGGGGAAGCACTCTTTCACCATTAAGCATGTTAGCTTAGATTTTTTTGTTAGATACCCTTCAACAGGTTGAGGAAATACCTTTTTCCTTGTTTGCTGAGAGTTTATCAGAAAGGAATGTTGGTTATTGTCACATGTTTTTTTCTGATTCTACTGAAATGATCATATAGTTTTTCATTAATATGGTGAATTAAATTAAATTTTTGATGTTTGCACTTCATGGATAAATTTTACTTCATTATTTTATTAGTTATCTTGCCACATAACAAATTAACCTGAAACATATTGGCTTAAGCTACATATATTTATTTTCTCATGGTTTCTGTGGGTCAGGAGTCTTGAGGTGACTTAGGTAGCTTCTGTGATTTAGGGCCTCTCACAGTGTTGCAGTTAAGCTGTTGGCCAGGACTGTGTTCTCATGTTTAGGCTTGATAGGAGAAGGATTTGCTTCTAAAGCTCACTCATATGGTTGCTGGCAGAATTTAGTTCCTGACAGGTTGTTAGACTAATACTTCAGTTCCTCAAGTGTTATCTAGAGGACTCTTGGTTCTTTGGTTCTTGGTTCTTAGAATATTTCACAGTATTACAGCTTGCTTCATTAGAGTGAGCAAGCAAGAGTGCAAGAGAGCTGTCAAGCAAGATAGAGGTTATTTTTTTTTATAGCCAAGTCTTCAGAGTGACACCCTACCCTGTCACTTGTACAGCATTCTATTTGTTATAAACAAGGTTCAGTCCCTACCCCCACAGGAAGTGGATTACACATGGGTGTGAATGCCAAGAGGTGGATATTGTTTTAGTGGCTGCCTACCACAATCATGATGTATTATTCTTTTTATTTATTGTTGAATTAGATTTTTAAAAATTTGTATAGAATTTTGTACCAATGTTTTTGAGGTCTGTAGTTTTCTTGTAACGTCTTTGTCTTGTTTCCTATCAAGATAATTCTGGTCTCAGAATGAGTTGGAAAGTATTTCCTTTTCTTCAGTTGTCTGGAAAAGTTTGTTTAGAATTGGTATGTCCTCCTGCATTTGGGAAAATCTATTGATGAAGCCATCTGTACTATAGTTTTATTTATTTTCATATATTTAAGGTAAAGTTTTCAACTGCATATTCACCTTGTTTAATAGTTAATAGGTCTATTCTGGTTCTCTCTTCTTTGAGTGTTTCTTTGAAAGAATTTGTCCATTTCATCTACATTGTCAAATTTATTTGCATAATGTTGTTCATAATGTCCTTTTAAGATGTCTAGAATCTGTAGCAATGTCCCCTCTTTCATTCTTTGATATTAGCAATTGGTGTTTTATGTGTTTCCTTATTGCCTGGCCAAAATTGACCAGTTTTATTGATCTTCTCAAAGAACCAGATTGGGATTTTCCTCTTTAGTTTTTTTTTTTTCCTTCTTTTTTAATTCTTCAATTTCTGCTCTCATCTTTATGAGATCTGTCTGCTTACTCTGAATTTAATTTGCTGTATTTTTTATGGGTTTTTAGAGGGAAATCAATAACCTCAGCTTCCACTCTAAGTACTGCTTTAATGGCATCTCATATTGGTATGTTGTGTTTTCATTTTCATTCAGTTCAAAATTACTGTCTTAATTTCCCTTTTGATTTCTTTTACTCATGGATTGTTTGCAAGGGAGTTATTTAGTTTCCAAATATTTGGGATTTTTTGGAGATCTTTGTTATTAGTTTCCAATCTATTCCAAAGTATGGTTATATTTTATATGATTTTGAATCCTTTGGTAAGTATTAAAACTTTGTTTTTGGCCCCAAATGATGTCTGTTCTGTCGGTACTTGAATTTGTATTCTGCTGTTATTTTGGAGTGTCTTACTATGGTCAGTATGGTTGATAGTGTCAGTAGAGTCTTCTATATCCTCACTTGTTTTTTGTGTTGTATTATTAATTATTGAGATGGAATTATTGAAGTCTCTGGCTGTGGATTTGTCTTTTTCTTTGCATTTCTATCAGATTTTGTTCTCTGTCTACTTTGAAGCCGTGTTACTAGGTGTAAATGTTTAGGGCTATGTTGTCTTGATGAATGAATCTTTTTATCATTATGGGGTGACCTTTATCTCTGGCAATATTCCTTATTAAAAAAATCTACTTTTTCTTATATTTACCTACACACTCCTCCTGCTTTCTTTTGGCTTACATTAGCATAGTATATCTTTTTACCTTTTACTTTTTAAGAAACATTATGGTAAAAAACACGTAACAAAATTTATCATTGTAATATTTTCAAGTGTGTAGTTCATTGTCCTAAGGACTTTCATATTGTGCAACCATGTCCAGAACTCTTTTCATCTGAAAATTGGATTCCTTTTACTTTTAACTTGTGTGTCTTTATAGTTTAAGTACTTTTCTTAATGTGTGTAGATCTTTTATACTTAATGTGATTACTGATATGGTTTTAGTCCGTTTTGCTTACTGTTTTTTATTTGTCTCTTTGTCCTATTTTGGGACTTATTTGGAATAAACGAATATTGGTTGTAATTCTCTTTTTTCTTGTTGTTGTTGGCTTATTACTTATAACTGTTTTGTTATTAGTGTTTGCTTTAGGGCTTTTACTATGCATGGTTTATAGCATCACAGTCTACCTGCAAGTGTTATACTCACTACTTCATGTATAGTATGGGAGCCTTAAAATGGTTTTCTTATGCATGTGTTGTAAGCACCAGTTTGCATTGTTCTTTTTTAAAGTGTTACCTTTTAAAGAGCTTTAAATAATAAGAAAAAAATCTCATGTATTTCCAGATACCCATTTCCATTGTTCATTTCTTTGTTCAGATCTATTTACCAATTTTTTTCCTTCTTCCTGAAAGATTTCTTTTAACATTTCTTTTTGGGCAAACCTGCTGATGATTAATTCTTTCAACTTTTGTATTGCTGAAAAGCCTTTATTTTTTTTTAGGAATTTTTACTGGATATTAAATTTTAAGGTTTTTTTTTTTTTTTTTAGATTTTATTTATTTGAGAGAAAGAGAGAGGAAGCAAGCACAATCAGGGGGAAGGGCAGAGAGAGCGGGAAGAAGGGCAGAGAGAGCTGGAGAAGCAGAGTCCCTGCTGAGCAAGGAGCCCAACTCAGGGCTCAATCCCAGGACCTTAGGTTCATGTTTTGAGCTGAAGGCACATGCTTAACCAACTGAGCCACCCAGGTGCCTTTTAAGTTACATCTTTTTAAGTACAGGTCTTCCTTGACCTAAGATGAATTACATCCTGATAAACCCATCCTAAGTTGAAAATACTGTAAGCCGAAAATGCATTTAATATACCTAATATACCAAACATCATAACTTAGCCTAGGCTACTTTAAATATGCTTAGAACACTTTCATTAGCCTACAATTGGGCTAACACAAAGCCTATTTTATAATAAAGTGTTGAACATCTCATGTAATTTATTGAATGCTTTACTGAAGGTGTAAAATAGAATGGTTGTATGGGTACAGAATGATTTTAAATGTATCAGTTATTTATCCTGGTGATTGCATGGGTGACTGAGAGCTGTGGCTTTCTGCCACTGCCAGGCATCCTGAGGGAGCATCGTACCACATACCACTAACCTGAGAAAAGATCATAGTTTGAAGTATTGTTTCTACGGAATGCATATCACTTTCATACCATTGTAAAGTTGAAAAATTGTAAGTCAAAACATTGTTAAGTCAGGACCATCTGTACTTTAAATGTTACACCACTGCCTTCTCGATTGCATTGTTGCTGATGAGAAGTCTGCTGTCATCCTTTATTTTCTTAAATTGTTAAATTTTTTAATGAAATGTGTCCTTTTTTTCCCTCTGGGTACTTTAACAGTTTTCTCTATTACAGGTTTTGAGCTGTTTAATTATCACACAACTTGGCCTTTTCTTCATGGCTCTTGTGCTTGAAGTCCATTGAGCTTTTGGAGGGAATTTTTGTGTTCATAATTTTTATTGAGTTTCGGAAATTTTTGGCCTTGTTTCTTAAAATATTTGGGTTTTTTTTTTTTCTGTTCACTTGACAGTTTCTATAGTTGTGTCATTCACTAATCTTTTCTTCCATAATTATATTTGTGATGTATTTGTAGTCTCCAACATTATATTTTTTTTTATCTCTGCAGGTTGGTTAAATATATAGTCCATGTCTCATTTAATTTGTTGAATATATGAAATAGAGTTATAAAAATACTTATTTTAATGTCTTTGCTAATCCTGCATCTGTGTCAATTTATAATTGGTTTTGATTTAGATTTCTCCTCATTCTGGCTTGTATTTTCCTGCTTCTCTACATGCCTTGTGATCTTTGGATACTAGACATTTTGCATTTTACCATATTGAGTGCTAGGTATTTTTGTATTTTTCTAAATTTTCTTTTGGGATACAGTTAAATCACTTGGAAACAGTTTGTTCCTTTTATGTCTTGATTTAAGATTTGTTATTTGGGCAGTGTTCAGTTAGGATAATTATTCCCCACCATTGCCTACACAAAACCATTCTGAGTACCCTACCTAATGCCCAGTGGATGTGAGGTTTTCAGTTTGGCTGGTGGGAACAGGAACTGTTCTTCACCCTCTGTGTGCTCTGGGCATTATCTCCTCCAATTTTGTTGGATGGTTTCTATACCTGACTCTTGTTTTCTCATAGTCCTGTGCTAATCAGTATTCTCCTGGAATACTTGATGGGCATCTTCATTGCAGCTCTTTCTTCTCAGGTACTTAGGCCTATGAATTCCAGCCACCTTGGTTTTGCTGGACTCTAGCACCATTTCTCAAATCAGGTAATCCGCTCGGTTTTGCCCGGATTTCCTCCCTGCGCCATTTTGAAAACTTACAGGTGGTTTCAAACTGCAGCATCCATAGGGCTCTTTATCTGGTTTTCGTTTGTCAGAGGTCATGGTCTCTCATTGCTTGATGCCAGGTATTTAGTAAGCTACTGTTTTACGTATTTTCACTGGTTGTTTGGAAGCAGGAGGGATAATCCGGTCCTTGCTACTTCATTGTAGCTGGAAGTAAAACTCCAATGATTGAAAGTCCAATTCACATTTGATTATGATTTAGAAAAGTATTTGGGTTTGATTTAAGTTATGCTGGTTTGCTTTAGATCTTAAGGTAAAATTGCACAGCATTGTATAAAATGAATCAAGTACTAGATGCATACTGAGCATCTGCTATAAAGTATCTTCATACCTTATATAAATAAACCAGTATACTATATAATACTACCATATTTAAACCTGCAGGAATTCCTGTCCTTTTTCCAGATGTTGTTTAAACATATTTCAAGATTGTCACCTTGTGATTAGAGTAATAATTTTGTCAACTGTTAAGGTACCCAAACCCTTTTTATTTTTATTTTTTAAAATATTTTATTTATTTGAGAGAGAGAGCATGAGCAGGGAGAGAGGGAGAGGGAGAAGCAGACTCCTTGCTGAGCAGGGAGCCAGATGTGGGGCTCAATCCCAGGACCATGACCCGAGCCGAAGGCAGATGCTTAACTGACTGAGCCGCCCAGGCACCCCTACCCAAACCCTTTTTAACTCTTTTTCTCATTTTGTGAAAAACGACACTAAACTTTGTGTTAAGTCTTTTTTTAATAGTTCTCAAAGTATAGCCCCTGTTTGCTATTTTGCCTGTTACTTGAAAATCAGGTAAAAAAAAAAGAAAACTGCAAAATATGGTTTAATCTTTCAGATAGTAAAAGGAATATATGTTGATATGGCATATAAAAGCCTTCATCACCTATAAAATGGGTATGTTATATACATTATGAAGGTTTGAAACCTTGAAATAAATTTCAAGGAAAAGCTAAGCTTTGAATTCTTTACAGAATGAATTTTTGACACACAACCCCCCCCCAAGGTGGGGTGTGTTTTTGTGTGTTTGTATGTACAATTTGTGTGGCTAGAGAGGCATTGGCAAATAAAAGTCTGAGAAAATGTTAAGGAAAGCAGCTATATTAATGGGTTCTTCCTTTTGCGGGGTCTAGAGGGGAGATAAACACAAGTGCAGGGATTTTTGTTGCATTGACCCTTCGAAGAAGTTACTGATTTGCTCATAGAGTAATAATGCTATGTGGACTCTTGATCTTACATGATTAAATACCAAGTATGTAAGTTTTAGATAAGAAAATCTTAATTATTGCCACTTTTAAGGTTATTTTTTTACCAAAACCTATAAATGTAACATGTATTTATGATGTGCTCAAGAGATCTTTGCAATGAAAATTTAAAAAACGGAAATTGCTTTCAGGTCTTTGTCTGAAGCTATGTCAGTGGAAAAAATTGCTGCAATCAAAGCCAAAATTATGGCTAAGAAAAGATCTACTATCAAGACTGACTTAGATGATGACATAACTGCCCTTAAACAGAGAAGTTTTGTGGATGCTGAGGTAGATGTGACACGAGATATTGTCAGCAGAGAGAGAGTGTGGAGGACACGAACAACTATCTTACAGAGCACAGGAAAGGTAAAGTATTTCACTCATTCATTAGAGTGAGTATGTGTATCTCATCTGTGATTGGTTATAGAACTGGCTAAAATTTGCTATTAGGATCAATTTTCAAGTTTTATCTCTGAAAGATCAGTAATAATGTAGATTTCTAAGTGGCCATATTTACCGTTTAGTGGTTGGTCACTGAAGAAGCTGATGTAAATGTCTGAATCACAGTGCCAGCCCCTTGATTTGCACCTCATTTGTAAATCCAGTGAATAGCCCAGTTTTCTTGTTGATCAGATTTTTGCTTTAACTTAATGAGGAGGGGATGGTGATGGCCAGCTGTGTGGTCATTAATATCGTTATTAATTTTTTTCCCACAAAGTAGACACTTAAGAAAATCAGCATTCATTTATTTGTGTATTTTATACATTATATCCTGTTGTGTGAATGTAGCAGTATTTATTTATTCTTTATTAATGGCGTTAGGTGGTTTATTTGTTTTTGTAGCTATAGGATTGTGGAATTTTTTTCTCTCCCTTTTCCTCATTTCCTCCCTTTCTGTCTCCTTCCCTCTCTATTCACAATTACAAGTAATGCATTAAAAAACATCCTTGTACATGTACTTCTGTGCATTTATGTGTATACAAAATTTAATTCCTAGAAGCAAATTTTTGGTTAAAGGAGATGTGTACTTTAAATTTTGAAAGATAAAAATTTGAAAGATAGTGGATGTTTAAGTATCTTAATGCATCTCCAAAAAGATTGCTTTGGTTCTGTTTCATTTACATATTTTCATTTGTCTTTCCCTCACCTCCCAATTTTCTCTTAAATGTTAATTCTCCACTGATGTGCAGTTGTTAATATGTTATGGTGAGAGAGTGTGTGGAAGTATGTGAGGTTACCAATGAAAGTGAACTTTAACTTTGGCCAAGGCAGACTGGTTTTATTTGCAGATTCTGGATTCTGGTCTTAAATTTATTGTGCCATATTAGTAGGAATTGGGTTACTCGAAAAGAGTACATGAAGGAAAGAATTTTCGTCCTTTTGTACTTTGTCATATTTTACAAAGTACTTGAGGTCAAGATTAGGAATCATTCCCCAGACCTTAGAATTATAGAGAAATCTGAGAATATAAATAAACTTCAGTTTTTGAATTTACAGTAAAATGATCTGTTGATACTCATTTTCATTGCATAATATGGCTGATAGTTGAATATTGCAACTGCTAATGTTCTACCAATGTTCATTATAATAGCCAAAAATTTTGAATCTTATAGTAAAGGAATAAAGCATACGTGCTATGCTCCATCTTATTTTAGACCAAACATTAAATTTTCAAAAAACTGAGATGAACAGTTTTCTTTGAGCTCTAGGTGGCAGGGTTTTACCATTATTCCAAAACTTAGTGCTCTCATTTAAGTTAGTGTTGCCATCACAGGGTAATTTAAGAAATAAATTATAGTTTAAGAATTGTTTGGTAGCTAGGTTTACTTCTGTGATCATCAACATTTTTAAAAAACCAGAAACAGCTGTTTTGACTGATAGTCTTTCTGTATATGGTTTTCATTTTCTGAACACTAAAAAACTTTTTAGGTACTCAGTCCTAACAGACCCTATGATTTTATTATTATTATTATTTTTTATTGTTATGTTAATCCCCATACATTACATCATTAGTTTTAGATGTAGTGTTCCATGATTCATTGTTTGTGCATAACACCCAGTGCTCCATGCAGAACATGCCCTCCTCAATACCCATCACCAGGCTAACCCATCCTCCCACCCCCTCCCCTCTAGAACCCTCAGTTTGTTTTTCAGAGTCCATCATCTCTCATGGTTCGTCTACCCCTCCGATTTCCCGCCCTTCATTCTTCCCCTCCTTCTATCTTCTTCTTTTTTTTTTTTTTTCTTAACATATATTGCATTATTTGTTTCATAGACCCTATGATTTTAGATAGATCTTCATTATTACCAGGGATTAGGGCCTTCTTACCTTCTAAATTTCTGGAATAAAAGGTTCATGAGAAAAATAAGTATGTTCCTTTACAGTTATATTATTATTGCAAGCAACCCACATAAAGCAACCTGATTTTATAATGCCATTAAGAATATACTTTTAAACTTAAATAAGTTGTTGTTCCTTGTTGAAAAGTTGTTTAAAAGAGATCATTAAAAGGAAGATAATAATCCCCTGTAATTCTTCCACACAAAAATTGCTGATAACATGGATTCTTCTAGATTTAGAGTCTCACACACTGTACTTTATTATTTTTAAAGTATGAAATTTGATTTTCATGTATTTTCAGTGATTTTCGATTAAACTTTGTTTGCATTTGTCACTTTGTTGACTTTTGTACTGCTAGTGCAGAAGCAGTGGTTGGTTAACTCCTGGCATCTTGGCATGAATCAAGTTTTTAAAAATACTTCCCAATTTAAAAATCTTTTAAAAGTGTACAGTAACTCCTAACAAACAGTATTTTAAAATTTTCAACATCTCATATAAATTACAGCAATCTGAGATTAGTACTGGAGTTTCTTATACTTAGAAGAAGTATAGTAATTGATTTCGTTACGAATGGAGAAGCCTCTTGTGACAACAAATCTCATTTTTATTTCAGTAACTTGTTTCCTAGCTACATATTTGAATAGATGCAGAATATGAATATATTTATAGCCAGTTAAACAGTTTAAGTAAAATAAAAATAAATGAATAACAATATGTTTATAATAATTTGGTTTGGGGATCAATTTTTAGTAGTACTTCGATTTTTATTTGTGTGTATAGTAAAGAACACCTCAGTGATGTAGTAGGGAAGAACTAATAGGAAAAAAAAAGTCTGAAATTGTTTATTAAACAAACTTACTGCCTTGAATACTTAATTTTAAGTGGGCTAATTAAGATCCATTTATATTTTAGAATTTTTCCAAAAATATTTTTGCAATTCTTCAGTCTGTAAAAGCTAGAGAAGAAGGGCGTGCACCTGAACAGCGACCAGCCCCAAATGCAGCACCTGTGGTAAGAATGTGTTACTGCTTATATATTAATTTTAATGAAAATGACTCTTTTCAGTATTGTAATTTTGAAAACATCTCATCTTGAAGTTTTTAAATCAGTAGCTTTTTAAACCTTTTGCTGCTTCAGTATTCTTGAAATATGTGAAAATCTTCCCCACCATTAGCACTTACACCGTGAGATCTCACCTCACACAAGTTAGATTGGCTGTTATCAAAAAGACAGGAAGTAAGTGTTTTCAAAGATGTGGAGCAAAAGGAACCCTTGTGCACTCATGGTGGGAATGTAAATTGGTGTAGCCACTAGGGAAAACAGCATGGAAGTTCCTCAGAAAAACTAAAAATAGAACTGCTGTATGTACCAGCAGTTCTGCTTCTGGGTATTTATATGAAGAAAATGAAAACACTAACTTGAAAAGATATATGCATCTTCATGTTCATTACAGCATTATTTACAATAGCCACGATATGGAAACAAGTGTCCCATTGATGGATGAACGGATAAAGAAATTGTGTTATATACACACAATTGAATATTATTCAGCCATAAAATATAATGTAATTTTGACTTTTGTGACTACATGGATGGACCTTGAGGGCATTATGTTAAATGAGATAAGTTAGAGAAAGACAAATACCTTGTGCTCTCTCTTTTATGTGGACTCTAAAAACAAAACAAGCTTTATACAGAGATATAGATAGAGATATAGATGTGGTAGTTGCTAGAGGTGGAGGGTGGGTGAGGAGTGTGAGAAATAGGTAAAGGGGGTCAAAAGATAAACCAACAACAACAGTAACAATTTAAAAAACCCCAAGCAACCAAAACAGAAAAATAAAGTTACTTAAGCAATAATTCTTAGAGACACACTTGGGTTAGAATCTGAAAGGGGCAAATTAGGAAAAGCCCTCTGAGAAGCTGTGTAAAGTAAGTAACAGACCTATTCATTGTTGCTTGGGAGAATCCTTACCATTGTTAGAGATAAAAATCCCTATTACCGTCTGTTTTGGGGCTTTTTCTGAAATCTTTGGTTATGTGTGACTTACTGGTGGATATGTTGTGTTTCTCCTGATCACAGATCATTTGGTTCTTTCATGGTACCTTAGTTTTAGCCATTTGGAGAGTTGACTGCCTCACTCATTGAGTTGCTACTTAGGACCCCTCCAAAGTAAATTTCATGTATGGCGTATAGGTTATATTTAAATTTAAACTCAAACATGTCCTCCAGTTTTGTTGAAAATCCTTCCAGCTAGTTTCATATAAATCAACAAGGGAAATAAACGTAGATAAAATTGTTTTTATGTTACATAGGGTTTTTTTTGAAAGTATATTAAAATTTGAAAGCGCACCAACACAGTCTTCGCTTGTTCATAAAATCATTGGTATTTAATTCTTAAGAGGTAGTAGACTTTTATTGGTATTTAGGTTGATACTTTGAGTTGACTTTCCAGCAAGTACTTAAGTGCCTACTCTTGTCAGGCAGTGTGCTGACAAAAATACTAGAGATACCTGCCCTCTTTGAGCTTAAAGTCTAGTAGGACTTAGAGATGAGTAAAAAAAAGTAGTGAGACAAATGTTGTGATGGTAAAACACAGGGTGCTTATAATTATGAAATTGGTTGATTTGAATAGCAGTTGGTAGGAAACATGTTAGATCTTAAAACAGTTAAACCATTATCCTTGTGATTGAGTTTTTTCCTGTATTTCTATAATCATTAAGATACATAAAAATTTTAATTTTGGCCTTTAGCTATAGTGTATACCTAGGGAGCATCTTGAATTAACTATCTTTCTATCTTTTGTCTGGATTAATATGTAGGGTAGCATCCTGTTGTAACAAAATGAAGAGTACTTTAGTCTTTCTGAATACCATGAATTTCCCAAGCAGTTTTGGGAATGTTCTTTAAATATGCTTTTTTAGGTTATTATAGACTGAATTTTATTTTTTTAAAGATTTTATTTATTTATTTGACAAAGAGAGAGAGCACAAGCCAGGGGGAGTGGGAGAGGGAGAATCAGGGAGCCCAACGTGGGGCTTGATCCCAGGACCCTGGGATCATGATCTGAGCCGAAGGCAGATGCTTAACCAGCTGAGCCACCCAGGTGCCCCAAACTGAATTTTAGATAAAGTGTTTGTGAATTAAGTTTACAACATTAGATTGACAACTTATTCTAAGTATCTTAACAAGTAACACCTTTATAATTTAGTTTCAGTCTTATCTCGTGCATTTATAATGGGCTTATTTCATAGTTCTCATTATTTAAATATTAATGACAATTTGGAGAATAATTCTGTTAAAAGGCTCTAAAATGTCAGTTCAGTAAGCTTTGAATTAAGGTTTTTTGTTAAAAACAATTCATAATTGGGGCATTTATTATTTCATGAAGAAATTTAAGTACTTAGAATGAAATTATTAAGCACACCTATTTTATTTCTCCAGTTTGAAAGAGTTTTGCATTTTGCCTTGATACAAGTTTATTTGGAGTCCTTTGCCCTGTCCCTGATAGCAATGGTAATTTTCTACCAGTAAACAATATCTTGAAAATAAGCATCAAATGACTCCCCACTTTTGTCTTATTGGCTATTGTAAGAAAAAAAAGCTTAGAAAATAATACACTTATTGTGATTTTTATTCTGAGTTTTAAGTAACAATTTAAAATGGTAATATGTAACTCATAATTAATTTTTCTGCAGGATCCCACATTGCGTACCAAACAGCCTATCCCAGCTGCTTACAACAGATATGACCAGGAAAGATTCAAAGGAAAAGAAGGCAAGTTACTTAATTTTTATGTTCCCCTTACTGTGGTGGTGCTGAATGTGAGATGTGTGTGATGTTTATGAGCAGGTGTTGGCAGACATCTGCAGGCCAAGTCTGGCCCAACACATATTATAAATAAACTTTTGCTAGAACACAGTGGCATTCATTTATGTATTATCTGTGGTTCCTTGGTGCTGTGACAGTAGTGTTGAGTTGTGACAGAGATTGTGTGGCCTGCAGAGCCTTAAAATACTATCTGGTCTTCTCCAAAATAAATTTGCCAACCCCTGGAGCTCCTAGGTGGCTCAGTCAGTTAAGTATCTGACTCTTGATTTCAGCTCAAGGCATGATCGTGAGATTGAGCCCTGCGTTGGGCTCCACAATGGGTGTGGACCCTGCTTGGGATTCTCTCTCCCCCTCTCCCCTCTACCTCTCATCCCCCAATGATGGGTTGCGTTCTCTTTCTCTCTCTCTCAAAAAAAAATTGCCAACCCCTGGTTAACGGCGTGAATTCTGGATCCAGATTTCCTATACCACAGTTACTTTTTGCGTGAATTTTGATAAATTAACTGCATTCTGTTTTAATTTCTTCTTGTGTTTCGTTGCAATACTAATTATAGTAGTAGTATCTATCTTTTAGTTTCATTGTGCGGATGAAACTAGTTAATAATGTATCTAGAATAGTGACTGGTATATAATAAGCTATCTGTAAGTATTTCCTGTTATTAACATTCTGCTTCTCAAAAGTTCAGACTGGAGATTCTATATATCAAATCATGTTTCTGAAATTATAAAGGTATACATTGAGAACTTGGGAAGCATAGATTTTAGTAACTATGTGAGGGCTTATTTGGGGGTAGCTTACCTGATATACTGGCTAATGCAGTAGTGAACCATTTCCATGTTATTGTGGTGGTTAGTGAAGTGCACTAACGTCATTGTAATTTCTCTTGGGATCTTCATTTATCTTGATTTGTGGAAAAAGATGAGGTAGAAGCAACTGAAAGTTTAACTTTTATGATTTTTTTCCTGCATAATCTGAAATCTCCACTTGAGTTTACAACATTAGATTGACAACTTATTCTAATTTCTACATGCTGTAGAAATACAGTGGTTCATTCTTTTATTCATTGCAGTGTTTTTCTTGTGGAATGCATTATGTAAAGTAGGGTTTGGCAGATTACAGCTCACAGACCAAATCCGATCCTCTGTGGGCCAAATCAGACCATGCCCATTTGTTTATATATTTTGTTTATCTTGCTTTTGCACTGTACCTGCAAAATCAGTAGTTGTGATAGAGACATATGGCTTGCAATGTGTAAAATATTTAATGTATTTGTATTAATGTAATATGCCTTTACAGAAAGGCATATTGAGACTCTGTCCTGGAACCTTTATCACTATATACAGCATTGCTTTTCTACAAGTTATGTAATATATGCCTATGATTGTAATTTTGAAACTTATTATAATTTAATGCCTTCTCATGATAGTAGAAGCTTTTAGTGCTAATGTAATTGAGTATTGGAAGTAAATAATTTGGAGGTTATAAAGTATTTTATTCAGTCTATTTTTAATATTCCCAAAATATCAAAACTTTTGAACACAATTGTAGAAATCAGTCTTAAGCAACTTCTTCTATAGAAAGGCCTCTCTGGCATGTATTGAATATATTTTTGGGACTAGTATCCCTTTTAAAGTTTTTATCTTCATAGGTATGTAATTTAATTTTCTGTGTATAGTACATTTGCTGCTTTGTTACACTATTAACTGTCAGATTATAACACAGATTATTACTTTAGGTTTGTTATTGATCACGAAATACATAAAATCTAACAGCAAACCCCCTTTCTTTGTAGAAACGGAAGGCTTCAAAATCGACACTATGGGCACCTACCATGGTATGACACTGAAATCTGTAACGGTAAGTCACTCTGACTGCAGAGGTTCTTCTGTTCCAGGCATTTAATGTGCGTAGCAGATGTTGAAGAAAATCTTTGTTCTCCATTATTTTCTATTTCAAACATTTATCTTTAATGACTAATTGTGCCAATAGATCTGTACGTTGATTATTTGATTTGTGGATATCCTTTTTTTGGTTTAATTGAGTTGAGCTGTTTTGATTAACTTGCAAGAAGGATGGATGCTACCTGGTTAGAGTATTTAATGCCAGTGAGGAGTTACAAGGTCCAATTTGGGAGAATTATTTTCCGTACTATCTTACGTTCTTTAAGATGTAATGCCTTATGCTCTTTAAAAAAAAACGGGTTGTAATGGTTGATGTAATATTTACAAAGTGCATACTTGCCAGAACCAAGTACTTGGATGTCCACAATTATAAGCCTTTGGCTCACTTTTGGCAGACTTTCTTTTATATAAATTTCTGGATGTTCTGATTAGGCCATATTTAACACTTAATTTTTATTTAGTCAGTGATAGGACTTGGTAATGTAGAGCAGGAATTCTGTTAACCTTATTTTGAGTATTTATATTACAGATTATTATTATACTTTAAAATACTATGTGGATGTATTAGAGTACCTATATATTTTAAAGCTAATACCAAACTTACTTTGTCTTTGTTTACGAATCATCAGATCTTTGAGGACTCAGTATGACATGGAATCATCATATATTTGCTGTGATTTTTCAGAATTAAGATATATCTTGTCATGCTCTTCCAGAGCAGATAGCAAATAAATGTGGAGAAGCTGATATTAAAAGTTGACCTTTTTTTTTTTTCCTGGACTTCAAATTGGAATTGAGTATTAGGTATTTTGCTAATACACTTGTTTTTAAGCTGTCATCAGATTTGTTTTTGTATGATTGAAATTGTATATGAGCTCATTAATTCATTTAACAAGTACTTATTGAGCACTTGTGTCAGACCCTGTTCTAGTTGCTGGGACTATAGCTATAAATAAGATAGATAAGGCTTCTGTAGAGGGAGTAGTCAGAGAGGCCTCTCAGCAGGTGACTGTTGAGCACAGACCTTACAGAAAAGCATTCTGTGGAAGGCATTCAAGGGTCAACATTGAGGCCCAGTAGAGTAATAGCATGAAGGCCGGTATCCACAGCGTAGTGAATGAGGGGAAGGAGGTAAAAGATTAGATAACACTCATCTTCGAGATCTGCCTAGTACTTCCTGACTTCAAAATGTAGCTAATGACTGCAGGATTAAATTTTTAAAAGATTCATTTATTGACATTTTCTTGGGAATAGAACTTGCCCACTGGCCATTCCCTAAGTGAATTATCGTGGAACTATAGTTGTTATCCTTAGGTAACCATCAGGGGGAGTTTTTTGTGGTTGTGGTCATTGTTGTTTTAACTTTTGTCTCATCTGAAATGCCGTGAAATTGGTTTCATTACTGAGCTTCTGTGCAAATAGTAAAATTAGTGATAGTTTTTATAGTGATGCTTTTTACAGAACAGTTTTTCTAAAATCCAAGGACAGCTTCTTAATTAAACAGAGTGATAGGACTCTGCTTCCTCATTAGACTTTGCTTCTATATATACTTACAAGAGAGACAAATTTAAACAAATTTATCGTGTTTGTTTTTACAGAAATAATCACATAAAGACATTGTGTGGGAATGCTCAAATTGTTGGTACTTTCTGTATTTTAATACCCCGTTTGAGTCTCTCTACGGTTTGTGACCTGATTCATTTTAGCAGTCGTTAGAGAATACATGCAGAGGTTTGAACTTGAAAGCTTTGAAGTTGCTCTGATAATTGTTTCTTTTTACTTGAATCTCAGGCGTATGCTTCCAGTGTAATGTTTTTTCCTTGTCTCTTTTCTTTTGGAATTATTACCTATTTATGAGCTTGTGAGTTTCACCAACTTTGTCTTATTCTCCAGTGAAGATTTCTCTTGTGATATCCACCCAGACACACAAAAGCAGTTAAACGTATGTTAAAAGCTTTGTTGCCCAGATGTGACTTCCTTTCTAGTTTACATATGAGCTCATTTTAGGTACCACTGCTTTCCAGGGTTTTGACATGTTTAGTTGATCTACATAGTTACTAAAATTAGTACCAGTCTATATTAGGATTGGTCTATATATCTTTTAAGTTCAAGACACCAGAGTCTTAACTTAATCTTATATTTAACAGGACTCTGGTTAGATATAAGATTAAGTTAATCAAGTTGTGCAGATGGCTAGAAATTTTTATGTAATTGATTTTTTGTCTTCATTTGTTATAGAAAAAGGAGTATGTGTTTTGACAGTATTTCATAAGAATCTTAAGTTACTGGAATTTATAAAAAATTAAGGCTCTGGTAGGGTATTAGGTAATACTTGTTTTTGAAGATAATTTATAGAAATTCAATATATGAATAGAATCCCAGGTATCTTTAAAGTTACTTGTTTGTATAGTTAAGTCTGGTTACCTTTTGACTTAGGCCAAGAAATACAATGGCATAAGACATGGATGTTGGAGTTGCTAAGGGGCTTTTCGGAGTTGGTAGACTTTCCCCAAAATGTGTTAGTTGGGTTGTATAATGTTTAAGAAACACTAGATTAAACAGATTTTGTGGTATAGGAATTTCATTATTTTTAATATATAAATATCTAAATTGGAAGACAAGAGTATGCGCATTTTCCCAGGCTTGTTTGCCCCTTTTCTCCCTCCTTTTGAGAACACTGGAAAGAACTAGAATTGTGTAGAATTAGTTTAAGTGAAACTATCTTAGTAGTTCTGGGTTGGGACTAGAAACCATTTAGTATAGGGAACACCAGAATGTATTTGTATGGATCCCTTTTGTGAAAGGAGCCATCTTAGACGAAGAAAGTGCCACTTAACAGTGTTTTTCATTATATAGAAAAGAAAAGGAGATGATGAAGACTTTTCTATGTTGGCAAAGAACTTACCTGTGGTTCCACTGGAGAAGGAATAAAAAGATAGATCACAGTTCACTCTTGTTATTTGTGAGGATTTGATAATTGAATTGAGAACTACTTCATTTAACCTCCCGATCTAGCTTATTAATGTTCAGGTAGGAAGGTCACATAATCTAGCCCCTGTTTATTCTTTTCTTAGTTCTTACTGAATATCATTGACTCTCAGTTACCTTGCTGTCTTCATTTTTGAGGAAACATTTTATACTCTGAAATTGTGCAGATCAAAAGCTTTTCCTTTAAGATTGTTCTTTGAGTTGACTCCAACAGAATTGTAGTTTTTAATAATAAGCCTTTTTTTTGGGGAACCATTTTCCTAATAGTAAGTACAGTTGGATGGATATTCAGTATCTACATTAGAGGTGTAATCACCATCAACTTTCACTATTTAGTAAAATCCAGAATCTCAGTCTCTTAATTTATATAAAGTTATATTCTTAAGCAGGAACACATTTATTAGTATCCTTCCAGCTCCCCTGTTTCATTCTCATTTGGTTGTTAATTAACTTGTTCATCTTTGCTTGGGGTGTTATGGGAGTGCTCTAGTAGCAGTAACGCTCTAGAGTTGTGTCTAGAATCTAGGTTAGCAGAAGATGGAGACAGTTGATTAAGACTTTAGTAATAAACACTCTCCTTTTCCTTCAGCACATATTTTTGAGTGCTTATTGTAATGGTTATTGTGTAGATTTTAAGGCTGCCTATGGGAAATTTTCTTCCCAGAGTTAGATGCAGCCTGTCTGTTTATAAATGCTAGTGCACTGACATCATGTGCCTCTCTCAGCGTACTTCTGGGATCATTCATTGTGCCAGTCTAAATGTGGTCCCACATATGTTTTATTAGGCATCCACTGTCATTTAAATTTTGTTTTATGCACTAAGATTTAAAATTAAAAGTATGTCACAGGGCGCCTGGGTGGCTCAGTTGTTAAGCGTCTGCCTTCGGTTCAGGTCATGATCCCGGGGTCCTGGGATCGAGTCCCACATCGGGCTCCCTGCTCGGCAGGAAGCCCGCTTCTCACTCTCCCACTCCCCCTGCTTGTGTTCCTGCTCTCGCTATCTCTCTCTCTGTCAAATAAATAAATAAAATCTTAAAAAAAAAAAAAAAAGTATGTCACAAAAACAGTCTGGATTTTCAGCTTCTTTTGAAAAGCTGTCTGGCATGACTGGGTACTGGTTCTGTAGTAAGAGTCACACTGATCCAAACAATGACTACCTTTAGCTGGGATGTTTTCTGTAGGTTGCCCATAGGCCTCACTGCTCTATTGTCCTTGATCTATTTATTTATTCACTTATTTATACAGTTGACCTTTAAACAACACTGAGGTTAGGGGTACTGACACCCCCTACCCCCTGCAGGCAGTTGAAAATCTGCATATAACTTTTGACTTGCCCAGACTTAACTACTAATAGTTAACTAGTAGTTAATAGACTTAACTATTCTTGACTGGAAGCCTTGTGGATAACATACAGTGTATTAACACATATTTTGTATGTTAGATGTATTATAATAATGAAGTAAGCTAGAGAAAAGAAAACATTTAGAAATAAGAGAAATACATTTTTGATACTGTACTATAAAAAAAATCCACATATAAGTGCATTTTGCTACTCAAACCCATGTTGTTCAAGGGTCAGTGGTACTACCTTCTTAGACCCTACTGGCCTTTCAGTTTGAAATTCTTGATCTAAAGGCAGTGTTATATTGTTAAAGAGAAGGTAATCGGTTGAAAGCACTATGTATTTAAGGGTTCGAACTCAGTTCTGGCTCTGAATCCCAACTCTTCCACTCATTATGCCACTAATGAAGGTGAGATTATTTAACCTTCCATTGAGTGGTCTTGTTTTTATTTTGTAATAAAGATAATAGAACATATCATAGTCTTGTTGAGGACTAAAAGACTATATAAAATGCTTAGCACAGGGAAGACTCAACAAATAAATGATGGTTACTTTTATTATGAATTTATAATTTTATATATAATCTTACTTTGATTTAGGCATAAATGTAGGCAACTATAGCTTCA